TCATTCTGCACCATCCACTAAAAAATGTTGCACTACATGTGCTGTGCCTTATAAATTAACTATGAGTGGTCAATTTACTATTAGCTGAATTATTTAAAAAAAAACAGGATGAACTCCCTGGCCATGTTAGCCTCTGTAAGGTTTCAACATGCTGAGGTGAGGGAACTTTCCTCAGTGCAGACAGATCTTGTGCATAGCGTGGCTCAGATTAATCATTGCACATTTTGTTATCAGTCAGATTCTAAATTAGTCTTTAGGAGCCCAACTTACTGGGAGATCCCAGCAGATGTACATTTTACAGCATCAGATACGTAGAAAGGCTATGTTGGACTGTTAGAACTAGACCTCAAACTCAACATTAATTCTGACATTTTGAATTGAAAAAGCTTCCTGGATCGGAAGCGTAACATCTTCAGACTTGGAAACAAAGTCCATTGGATTGTTTTTTTTTTTTTTTTTGGGATTTTTTTTTTACGCATCTTTACAAGGGGGTCCAATAATAGTTGCCTTATCTCATATACAATGTATATGTGTACAGAATGGATAAACCAGGTTAATCACCGCTGGATGTAAAGCACCTTTAACCTTAAGGAATGTTTGATGATGTATAAATCCTTAGGAAAATATTCCAGGAGAAAGAACACTATGCAAATCAAATTTTGGGGGAACTGTTAATTCTTGTTTCATTGTAATGTAGGGTAGGGGTATTTAAACTATTTGTTGTGTTTGTTATACTAGTTTTTTTTTCTTTGCCATTACTTTTTTTCCACTGTCTTGTGAAAAAGGGGGATAAGAAGCTGATAAAAGATTCACTTTATGGAGGGTTGTTGTTCAAGTCTGTTCAGTGTAATTTTATTCCACATTATTGATAGAATAAATAAAAGTGCGTTTTAAATCTGCCTTGTTGCCCATTTTTTTTTGACAAATACTTTGTTAAATCCAAGACAAACGTTTGGAAGTAGCTCTGAGTTTCATTTCACTGTGTCTTTTGGTCACAAAAATAGTAAAAGTTTTCTAGATTTACTTGATTTACTGACTTTAGTTTCAGTCCCTTTTTATTTCTTTCCATGTTCTTTGATTTCCACCAGCTATATAATAACATAGGGCAGAAACAATTAATCGGATTAATCTATTATTGAAATAATCGTCAACTAATTTGGTAATCGATTAATCATTACGTGGAGTATAAAGACTATAAAATATATCTTTACCTGACAGAGCAACCCACTTAGAGCAGTAATTATATCAATTGTAAAAACATATATAAATCATTTGAATTTCAGATAAAAAAGCTTTTTCGTCTGTCTATATGCTCTATCCAGAACTACTGAAGTGGAAAAGTTTGAGTTTCAACTGCATTAATTTTGTAAAAAGTCTACTTGAAGGAACCTTAGGCTATCCAATTATTAACTGATTAATTGAAAAAATAATCGACAGATTAATCGATTTGTAAAATAATCATTAATTGCAGCCCTATAACAAAATAACTAGACCAATGCTAAGTATTATTAAAAGAAAAAGCCTTACTTTTTGTGTTGAGATTTGCAAGAACTAGCTGCTCAGTGCAGCAGTGGGTAGCATCGCGGCCTTGCAGCAAGAAGGATCTGGGTTCAATTCCCGGCCTGGGGTCTTTCTGCATGGAGTTTGCATGGGTTCTCTCCGGGTACTCCGGCTTCCTCCCACGGTCCTTAAACATGACCGTTAGGTTAATTGGCTGCTCTAAATTCTCCTTAGGTGTGAATGGTTGTTTGTCCTGTTAGTCTCTGTGTTTCCCTGTGATGGACTGGCGACCTGTTCAGTGATTACCCCGCCTCTCGTCCGTAGACAGCTCGAGATAGGTACCAGCATGCCTTGCGACCCCACTTGGGAAAAGCGTGATGGATTTGCAAGAACTAAATGACTGTGTGTATACTATGGCATGCTGCTTTTAAAACCTTTCTCTAAACAAAGAAAAGAATAAAAAAGTGTAACGCTCAAACACCCGTAGTTTATAGTAAACATGTATCCTGATAAGTATATGTGTAGTTATTCCAGCAATCTTAATGGAATAAAGATTAATAATCTTTAGAAAAATCTGAATAGATTTTTTAGTTCTGTAATTTAGTGTACATCAAAGTTTCTAGAAATATTTTCTTTCAGTAGATTTTTTAATATGAGTGAATCCTTCTGTCTGATTTTAGATTTCACCAGGCTGCTTAAAGCTGCTGATCTTTGAGATATAATAGTACCAATTCTGTTTAAATGCAATGTTAAATGCAAACATGTGCACTCATAACTGGTTTCACATCCTACCTCATTTCGTTTTCTTTAATGAAAAGAAACTTTTCTTGATCAACAGATTTTGCTTTTTTTGGACCCCTACAAATGTTATAAGCATTAATGTTTTCATTATTTTTCAGTATCAATTTCACAACAATAACGCTCAGTGTTCATACTATGTCTGACATTCATAGATGTGCTCACTGAGGTCTGGACCTTCAGATTAATGTGATACCATGATTTATTCCTTTATTTCCTTCTGCTGTAACAATCATACATAGTATTTTAATCGCATCTACTAAGTTTAGATTTCTTCTAATATTCTGCATAAATGATTCCCATCCAGTCATCCAGTGGTAAAGCCTAGATGGCCATATTTTTCTAGAGAGAAAAGTTTCCCCTGCAGCCCTTTTAAATCAGCCATCTTTCTTTTGCCTTTGTCTGTCCTGTTGTGAATGTCAACAGTAAACATGTCCGCTGAGCCGTGTAGTCTGAAATTTGACTTTTAGCCCTTTAACTATTTATGCTACTGCTGTATAGTTTGACCTTGCGGTGAATCTGCCGGGATGTCCACTCACAGTGAGACTGGCAGCGTAGTTAAATGTTTTCTACTTGTGTATTAACCTTTTCACCCACAGGATGGTTTCCATGTAGTTTTTAAAGTGGCCCCATAATCCTTCCCAGACTAATGTGGAGAAACAGCTGCTTTTTCAAATGTATTTATTTAAAGGTCTTTGCCAGTACCTCTCCTTCCTGGCATTTTGTTGACTCACATCTATGTGCAGACCAGCTTACAAACACAACCTAAATATGTAAACTATTATTTATCCTTTAGGTGGAGAGTGTTCTCTTTTTTTAACCTATACTTCTTGTTTTTTTGTCTTTTTTGGGGTTTTTAATAAAGATTCTGGAATCCGTAGATTTAATACTCATATTTAAATAATTTTATGTTGGAGAAAAACACCTGTAATATCTTCTGATATGTGAATAATTCACATATAAAGTATCTTTCACCTCAGTTTTTTTTTCTGTTTGCTTTATTTATGTTACAGTTAAATGTGTAACCTAATTTAACCACCAGTATGAGAAAAAGGGTAAATGCCGTCTAATCCTTACAAGTAATTGTGCCTCTCTTGCAACCAAGTGCTCATAGTAAGTGGGGATGAGTGTGCTCTCCCTCAGAGGGAACCTGGCTCCACTTTCTTGAATAGTTTTGATTCATCAACATTCAATGGTTTCTGAGCATAAAATGCGGTTTGAAGGTCAAACCAATTCTTTCTCAGTCGCGATCATATCTGGACTCTTAACTACCGATAGGTCGCTCCAAAAAGGTTTTTATGACTCTTTCAAAGACAGTTTTACTGATGTGATTTGGATGATTGCTCTTTTTAAGCTCAAAGTCACAAACTTAAGGTCTTACATAGTCTTTAAAGAGTTTCAGGTATAAAGCAGAATTCATTGTTGGAAAATGCCTTCTGGGTCCTGAAGCAGCCAATCGATCCCAGACCATCATCCTACCACATTTATCTTTGTCTGTTGGTGACATGCTCTTTTATTAAATGCTTTTTGTACAGGATGTCATAAACTACATTTCTCTAAACTGTGCAAAGATGATTTTGCCAATAAACTAAGGATCTTACTTTGTTTTTTTTTAGTGTGGGACAGCTCTGTATGTTTTGGGTCAGGAGTGGTTTGTATCCTTTTACTCTCCCATGGAGGCCATTTTTACCCAGCTCCTCTCTAATGACTCAGTCTGAGGGAGAGAAACCTGCAGTGCTGTAGATGTTCTGAATATCTTGAAGACTCCTTGGTAAACCTTTTGCAGATTATTTAGCAGGTTGGTCATCCGGGTCATCACTGTTCCACGTGTTTCACATTTTTAGATTATTGTTCTCACTCTGGTTTTTAGTACAGAAATAACTTTATAAACCTGCTTCTCATTTCAGCTCAAGATTCAATATAATGGGGCATGTTGTGTTGCTTTTAGAATACCTCATGTTGTCAGACAGGTTCTATTAAAGTGACCCAATTCAATTGGTTAGACATGAGAGTGGCTACAGAGTAGGGGACTTTTTTTATGTAGAGAGGTTGGCTAGAATGTAAATTTTTGGCTAAATAAAATGTTTTATTCCTATTTGCTTTTCTTTGGGTTACCTCCATCCAATACAGCATTTTGTTGTATTAAGTAAAAAATAAAAATGTTGAAGAAAAGCAAAATCTGTTTAGGGGGAATACTTCATCACAGCACTGTTACATCAATATCTAATTGAACACAAGATCCAGTTGACCAAGGAACATTCTCGGATATCTGCAGTCTCAGCTAAGGTAATACATCACATCATTTTATTATTCTTATGTGTGGAAAGGATGAGCAGTACTGAAATATCTACCATCACTGTCTGCTGAAGTATAACTTTTAATTTAAAAAAATGCAGTAAAATGTGTGGAGCTAAAAATGAACCCTTGACAGCTTCATGTCAAAGGAAATGCATGTGTGCATAAAAAAAAAATCTAACATGCTTCAACCACAGGGGGGCGTTCTTTGATCAGTCTACTGCAACCGGCCTCTGCCTTCTCAGCAGTTTTAACTTCCTCCTTGTTAATCTCCAAGGACTTTCAGTTGATAACTCATTAGTTCATATATTTTTGACAGAAACTATTGTCTCTCTTAGTGGGAACAATAAACAATTTTCGATTCAAATACACTTTTTAAAGCAAAAATGACAGTGTAATAATAATAACCTTTATTGGCTTAATATAGATCATATTTGTTATAACAATGATTCTTGATGACACTTAAATATATACAAAGCAGCCACTCCAGGACATGAGTTTCATCAAACTGCAAACATCTGGCTGTGATTATGTGTAAGCAGACACACAGCATCTGTTTCGCTCCAAATAAGCGATGATGGTGTCATGATGTCTTCTCTTCTAGGATCTCCCTCACCAGAACCGGATCAGCTCTTCCTTTGGTCTCTTTCTGAACCAGACCCATCAGCTTATTCAAAACCTTCTTATTTCCACTCCTGATGGCACAAACCTGAAAACAGAAAAAGAAAAAACTCTAGTATCAGGCGCATGTCAGAAAATTATATTAGTAAGGAGACCATTAAGGAAGCTATTAATTTTCCTTTTAATTTCCATTGGCAGAATGTGTCTTAAAGGGAGTTTAAATAATGGCCGGTTTCTGCTGCCAAAGAAGTTGTCAGAATTTGGTGCCAACAAAATGAAAGCTTTGATCCCCCCTATTTTACATCCATAGTTGATACTGGTAGTTGTCTGATGGCAGGTTTTTGGGAGGCATGCATGAGGCCCATTAGGAATAATTGAGCATTGGTCAACACCACAGCCTACCTAAGGTTGTTGCTACCCATCTCCACCTCTAGATGATCACATATTTTAATAGTTCCTACCAACAAGATGATGCTCCATGCCAGAAAGCTCAGATCATCTACTGCTGGCTGTATGAACATGAGGATGAGCACCATACTCCACAGCCTGCACAGTTGCCACATTTTGACCATATACAGACCTTTTAGATGGGAATGGAACAAGATTTTCTCTTAAACAGATGTTCAGCTGACAATAATGGAGGCCTGCTGCAAAGTCACAGTAAAGGTGACTTTCCACTGCTGCTTGTTGCTCCTCCAGGACTTAATGCGATCTACTGGGTTCCTTAGATAGAGAACTACCCAACCAATCTGTGTGCATGATGTGATTGAACCGACTCTGCAGAAATGCCTTGAGATGACTTGTGTTGCGAATTACTGTCATTTCAATGTGAACCAAACCCTCAGAGCAACCTTCAGTCGGACATGTGCTCCAGACTTGGCCAGGGCTCTTTTTGCATGAATAGCTGCATGGATACAGGCTGACCTATCAGTGCTTCTGCTGAGGTAAAGGCTGTAAGGTATTAGAACATTTAGCAATGGGATTAATTCTAGGATTCATTGCAATGACTATATAAGTGGAGCTTAAGTCTTATTTTCTTCTTTTCTCGCCTTTTCATCAGTGCTTCACACCCTCTCTGACCTTTAGTCAGGGCAATGTCAGTATATCCAGTGTGAGCAGCTGCTTCCTTGGGACTCTGTCCAACTGGCTAAATCTTACATTAGTATGAACAATAAAAGTTCATGAGACTTGGAATATATCATCCAGCAATAACTGCACTCCAAACTGTTATTATTGAAAAAAAAAACTCATATTGTGATGACTACATATCCACAGTGTATTATGCTCATATGGCTGCTCTGACTCTGAAGCAGATCACACACAGTGGAACGATGTCAGATGATAACATGGCCTCTCTAATCATCACCAACTGTGGAAACGTTACAGTGGGCCTCAGGGAAGTTGGATTCTGTCCTTCAGCGTTCCTACAGTGTTATGGGAGCCTGTAGCCTATAATCAGGTGGCTTCTGGGTCCTATGTACTATTGCAATCTTCTGTCGAAGTGAATTTGTTTTTGTTTTGATTAACTGTGAGGAATAATCATCAAATTACAAGTATGAAATGCTTTCAAAATACCCCACATTTCTTTTTAATATAAATTAGTTAACTTTTTGATTGCATTTCAATGAATTGAGATCCCCCTGTAAATGTAACCCCAGACATTCAATGAAGCCCATACCTCCTCTGGATGCGAGTCTACAACCTTCTGGCAGATTCTGTGGAGCTCAGCGGCGTCGCTAACTAGCCCTAAGTCCTGCTCACGGATGATCTGTGCGGCCGTCCTTCCCGGTGACCTCCACATCTCCTGAAACACCTGCGGGCACAGAGACAGCAGCAGGTGAGAAAGAGAACACAGAGCTGGGCTAATAACTGCAGGGTCTGTGCAGCACACTGACCTGCTTTGAAACAGAAGAGGAGATGTGTCCTGCTTCCTGCAGCTCCAACAGCTCAGCCAAGGCAGCGGGAACGACTGGGCTGGAATCAAATTAAGGCCTAATTAAATTATATTTTAATAGCTGGAGGTGTATTAGTGATATAAATAATAAGGTAGATGGAGAGAGACAAATTGGGATCGCTGGACCCAAGGGACGAGAAAAAGGAGGAAAATAACTACTCTGAATTTCTTACACCTGCTTTATTTTTTGCATCCGTTTAGATCTAAAAAAAAAAAAAAAATTCTCTCACTAAATCACTGAGCTGTTTATCTCCCTGAATACAATTACATGGATCATAGGAGTTATCTACAAACCTCAGATGGGGCCGGAAGAGGAAGTTCATTTACATCTACAAGTTTAGAATTATAATTTATTATACCAACATAGATGAGGTTATCAGAATCCTTCTAGATTTTGTACTGAGTACCCTACCATGCAGCTTTTATTTCGCTTATTTATCCTAGGGTCCTAAAACAAAGACCCAACAGTTGTTCCTCTGACTCGGTTTTCTGCACAAACATTATGTGCATATAATGGATGGATGGATGGATGGATGAAAGGAAGGAAGGAAGGAAGGAAGGAAGGAAGGAAGGAAGGAAGGAAGGAAGGAAGGAAAAGAATGTACTAAGTAAATACTGAAGAAAGAGGCAAGAAGGAAAGACAAAGACAGATTTTTTTAAAATTAAGGAGAAAAATGTCCTGAAATAAAGACTTTTTTCCATCTGTATTCCAAGCTTTCTCCAACTGTGAAATCTTTAGGTTCCACAATCAATGTGATCTTCAGCTAATCTCAGTCTGACTCAGCCGTTTCATTTTTCATTCCAGCTGCAAAAATGATTAAACTCCCATCTTTGGATAATTTAAAGGGAAAGTGATGTGTCATAATCGTCCAGTATTCAGAACCCCGGCGTGCTCTGAACAGAAACAGTGAGAAGTGGTGGTTTAATTTCATGCAGCCAGCGGCAACAAAGGCTTCCTGTCCGCGATTTTGGAGGCTTAATTATGAGACCATGAAACCATGGCAACTATTTCACGCCTAAACAAACAACAAAGGCTGTTAATTTTAAGCTTAAGTGCAACATGTGTAAAATTCAGCCTGTTCCAGCCGGGAGCTCCTCTTCTGGAACATATCATCTCCCAGGTTTGGCTATAGAGGCTTTTTTCCGCATAAAGACTTTCTCAGAGACAAGACAAATAATTAGTAAACACAAAATGATCCCATTTATGCATCTGAGAAAGGGGCAGAAAAGTAATTTGCTTCTGCTCTGTCACCTCCTTCACTTTCAATCATGGCATTTGACAAGTGAAAAGGACTAAAATGAGGTGTTAATATGAGCTACAGATCAGAAAGGAAACTGTTGGATTGGCTCTCGGTACAGAAGCAGTGGGTAATTAAAGAACAGAATGGGATGAAAAAAGGAAACTGTATGATCCTGGACATTTTGGACTCCCTTTCATGAATGGACTCCTGCTGTGACAGTTATCATCTGACTGCAGGTTCACTCAGCGCTGTTCGCTGCCAGGACACACTCCTCCATCCATGTTTATCTTTAATCTTTTTGAGTCCTTGATATGAGCTTTAGGATCTGGCTACTGATCTGACGTTAGATCTGTTAAAGATCTGAGATCTGAGTAAGGCTCTGGGACTGTCTCTGTGTAGCTTCCGCAGAGGAGGACCGTATTTTTTGAAGTGAAATTTTGAACACATTACCAACACTGGTAACTGAAAGACCAATTAAAATCACTACTTTGACACAGTAAGATTCTAGTTTACATTTATTTACCTATAAACCCAGAGGGAACCTTTAAAGTTGATACATTGCAGCTTTAATACTAACTTGTTTCAATGTTAATATTAAGGATTTTATAGGCGCAAATTATCCTAAAGGTTTTCACAATTTAAATATTTTTAAATATTGTAACATTACAACTACAAATGTTAATTGATTTAATTTGCAGTAGACAAACACAAAGCTGTACACAACTGAAGTGGAAAGAAATGCATCCAGTATGTGAGACGTGTTTTCATTCACTAATCAGTACTACAGCTGTATCTTTACCTTTATGTATCTAGAACCTAAGATTTTAATTAAAGTCTTATCTGACCAGGGCTTGCTTCTAAATGTTTTGCTGTGTCTTGGAAGTCCGTGATTAAGTTGTGTAAAGAGTCCCCCTACATTGCAGTTGGAGCTCCTGCAAAATTAGATGCCTGCTTTTCTAAATATGCTCCTACTTGTCTGGCCTACTTTTTTAATGTCTAGATCATGGATTGACCACTTCACTGGGAGTTGTTAAAATGTGTATTTTTATAACCTAATTCTGAATTACAGTTGTTCAGACCCTTGTCCTTTAACTGTCTGCAGTGCTCCTCTGTCTTTGTGAGGCTGTTTGTTCACTAAAATCTGGCTTCTTCAGATTTATACCTGCTTCTGGAGATAACTGGAATGCAAATTTACAACACAGATTTAATTTGTAAAGAACAGGCATTTATTTCCTCTTTACATTAATGAGAAACTTTTTTTTATTGGTTTGTCATTCAAAACCCCCCGAATGAAGGTGAAATGGAAGGTGACAAACTGTGACAGTTTAAGTACTTGGATTGCTTTAGTAAGGAGCTCATTTATGAGAAATATTCCATATTATGTCCCTCACAGCCAGTTCCTCTGGGTGTTTCTCACCTCTGGCTCACGCTCAGTTCTTGCTGCTTGAGGAGTCCTAACAACTCGTTGGTCACCCAGCCAATCACCTTCCTGGGCTCCCTCTTGGTTGACTTCATCACCTCCTCAAAGTACTCCATCAACCCATCCTCATTCTGCAAAAAACATTGCAGTATTAAGCATGCAAATAATTCACTTGCTATGTAATCAGTCCACTGAATATAAGCTAAGTTAACCCAGACTAAAGGATTTAATCCCATTAAACGGTTAGTTTTATTTCAGCCTCCCACACGCTCACCACCAGAGTGAAGCTGTGCTCTGGCAGGATGCCGTACAACTGAACCAGCCTGTCTCTTTTGATGCTGGGTAACTCTGGCAGCCCTTCCTTTATCGTCTGAACCACTACCGCCTGGCACGCGTCGATACCCGCAGGCAGCGATGCGTTATCCTCAAACACAATCAGGGGGGGCAGGTTGGGCTCTGGCATGAACCTGGAAGAAGTTGAGTGAAGGCGGAGGGGTGAAGCCTCTCAGAGTGTGAAAGATAAGCTCAGAGTGAAGGAGAAGGACTCGAATACAAATTTAGTTGTCATCATATTTTACATCATTTCCTCAATCATCTGGCTTGATCTAAATTATTCATGTATCAATAAATATTTCTGCTCCTGCTCCACTGACACATGAGGAGAATAAAAAGCTCACCTGTAGTCCTGAAGACCTTCTTTGTCTCTCATTGCAACAGTTTCCCTAAAACAACAAGAAACACATTATATTAATCAATCATTGGGCGGTGGGGGGTCAATCTAAGGCTCAGGGGCCATTTGAGGCCCTTGGAACTATTCTGTTCAGTTCTGTATACATAGTTGTATAATATTGCTGTCTACGTATCCCAGGCATTGGTTTGAAAATTGACAAAACTAAAATCCTACTTTTGAGTCTGAAACCACCTCTTTGGCGCCCTCCTCAGGCTAAAAGTACATTTGATTTTTGCTATAGGCTTAGCTTGGTTTAAACTGAGTCAGCAGCACTACCGTGGTGAGCAATGGTTTCCTTAGGGACTGACCACACATTAAATGATCTTGTTGCAATGAGAATTGAAAATCCTTCATTTTTCTCTCCATTTTAAAGATAAATGAAAAAGGTAAACATTGGATAAAAATAGTCAAGAATATCTGTCTGTCTTATTTTAAATTATTTTGTTTCAATAACTCACATAGCATAAAAGCTATAAAAAAAAAACACATTAATTATGAAGAGAGAAAAATGCATCATAATTAGACATAAGACATTAATGGTTTGGAATTAATTTTGTGTCGACAGGTTAAGAGGTGGTTAATTTTTGTTTAATCAATTGTGTTTGGTTCAGAGATTTATTGATGGGCCCAACCAGAACCACTGTTGCTCCTCCGCAGCACCCCCTAACCCTATCTCTGTCACCAGAGAAGACTGCAGAGATAGACCCGATGGCTGCATTGTAAAACAATCATCCCTGGGATCGTTTTGCTTGCCAATTATTGTGTCTCTATGTGCCACTGTCAATCACAGTTGAGACCGTTCCCAGGCTTCAACCCCCCCTACATGCTTCACAGTCCCCCTGGCACTTCTTTTTTTAGATTATTTTCAAGTATTACATATGAGCAGAAGGCTTTGGAGCAACGGAAGTTGTATGTTTCCTGATACTCTGTGAACAGGTGGTGCTTTGAGAACATTTACTTTTATAACCAAACACCAGCAGGGTTTGTTTCGCTTTGTCGGCAGAAATGCCAGTCCTTATTTTTTAAATGTTAATTAGGGGCATCATAATACAACTTTTTCATTATTCATATATACCAAAATTACAGCTTTGAGTGTGGACCAATGCCGATATTCACCCAAAACTATACCATCATGAATCATACATACTTTTCATAACCTATTTTATAGTGTGGCATGATAGAAAAGGCTTCATCAAATTATATTTCTTATTTGGATGATATTGGACCAATTCTAGATATCAATACCTGATTGGAATAGCCCTAATGATAATTCAATGATGTTTCAACTTTATGTAAATTTAAAACAGTATTAGAGTAAGATAAAACAGCTCCTGTCCGAGACAGCCAACAACAAAAACCAACCTACAGCATCCATTACATGGTTATCTAAACATGCTCATCATCGACAGGCTGAGGAGGTTATATCTATTTTCAAGAGTCATTGGACGACAGGTGAGAAACATCCTGAACAGGTCGCCCGTTCAGGTTGTTCGACACAACACAGTGGAAAAAAACAGCTATGCACACAGAGATTCATACCTAATGGCATTTTGAAGGGGCCAACTAAAATACTGTAGGGGTGTAAGGTTGGTTAGTACATAATGTTATCACAATATAAGCCTCTCTTTCAAGTTGATATGAATAAATATTGTTTTTTTTTCTGTTTAAAATAAGGACTGAAGAAAAAAAAAAACTGAGAATTTAAGTTGTAAACTTAACCCAACCTTAAATCTATAAAAACAGCTCAGTCTTATCTGCAACCTTGCTTATCTTGGATGCAAGAGGTTGAGGAGCTAAACCCTTTCCTTTGTTACCTATCGCAATACATAATGGTATTTGTTTTACTGCCCAACCCTTCCTAACCCAACACGTGCACAGGGTGAACATGTGTACAAACAACATGAAAAAAGGACCCAGAATGGGATTTAAACTCTTCATCCTGCACGGCCACATTGCCAGTTCCACAGTGGAACCTCATCCCATCCTGCAGCCATTTTATATTAGATAATATAATATAAAGATAATTGCCAGTCTTCACTTTGTCAGCTTAAGAGAACAGCTTGTAGCTAGTCGAGCTTTTTTACTGTTTGTCTTAATTATTGTCCTTTTTATCTCACACTTTGATATTCTATTTACACATTAATACCAACAACATCCAGTGGATTAAGCAATGAAAACCCTGAAATATGAGCATAATAAATAAGGAGAGTGACCATATGAGCATGGATTTGTTTCATTTATATGTTCACAGGAAAAGACTAAATCAGAAAAAATGTTGAACATCCCTCGGATATGGAAGGACTTATGGGAAGCGGCCGGCGTCCCAGAGGATGATGGAGGCCTCAGCTGTGAGGCAGCAAGCTCATTCTGAGAGCCACGATCTGCACATAGCTCACAGATAACACGGGCCGACAGCAGCGTCCAAATGGCTCTATTCATCATCATTACCATGATGGTTCATCCTCAGCAAAGCGTAGGACTAATGAACCAGGCAGGGATCCCAGACAGGGTGTTGTAATGGCTAAATCCTGGCGTCACAGCGCTGCTTTTTCATCCACTTACCCCGATTTGGAATCGTATGCCCGGGTCTCGTTTTGCACGGTCCCTCCTCTCTGCACAACATCAGTCTGTCTCTGGATCTCAAAGTCTGGCAAAATAAAACATGAGCATGATACAGAATGCAACTGAAACTCGGTATTTAATGCCAAACACCTGCTGCCACACAGCGATATTCCTCACTTCACCTCACTCTCACATCAAATGCACAGAACACCTCAAGAGCTGATTGTTTCCAGCTACAGTTCAGTCCAGGGTCGATATAACCATGAATGACAGACGATCTTTATTAAAGAGGGAAAGTCAGACGATCTCTCACTAACTGTACTTAAATGGTTGCCAGTCTTTAACCGTCAACATTTTTTTAACATTTCAGCCTTGGAAAAAGTTTATTTTTAATCGCAAGAAGAACAAAAAGTTTTATTTTCTGAAATGTAAAGAGAAAAGCCATGTTGCTCTATTGGAAAACTGAAATAGGCAGGTTTGTGAATAAATATAACTTAGAGGTCAATATAATGGAATCTGTCAAACAGCTTTATTACCAGGAAAAAGTTCCATTTAAAAAGAAAAAGCAAAAGAGTTTTTTATATGAAAGTAACAAAAAACATGCTGAAATTATAAATATTTTATAAATGACCTCCACCTCTTCAGATTTCTGCTAGATATAACTTTCCATAGTGAGGCAACTTTTTAAGAGTGAGGGCGTCATTTTTAATAAAAAAAGAAAACATTAAAAGTTTAAAAATATAGTTATGTAAAACAGCCTATCATAAAAAAGTCTATTTTAATAATTTTTGCTTATTTGCTGCCTCTGTGACCCAGGCCCCCTACTGTTTAAAACACTTTATCAACTTAAGATTTTTACTAAAGTAAAAGTGTAAAAGTACGATTTTTAAAACTACTTAATGTATAAAAGTAATGCAGGAAAAAAAAATAAGGACAGAAGCTTTAAACCTTTTACTGCACTACCCTATTAAAGGAACATTTCTGGATGACAACTTCCTTATATTTAATTTGCTTAATTTTATAACTAATGGTAACAGCGTCATATTTAACTTTGCATCATCTTGAAAAAATATTTATTTTGGTGCAGTAGTGAAAGAAAGAAAAGAATTGTCTCGATGAAACAAATAATTTTTATGTTTTTTTTATATTTTAAATACCAACAGGCCATAACAAAAATTAGCTTAAATGAAATAAAACTAATGAGCCTATTCTTAAAATGTAAGTAGTAGAAAGTTGAGATAATAATAAAAAAAAAACAACCAAAGGAGTAGAAGTAAAAATTTGACAAAAAAAAATGACTCCATTAAAATCTAGATAGCCAAGATTTATACTTAAGTAAGCTAACAAAGTATTTGCACTTTGTTACTTGACACCTCTGACGGCGAGTACATGCGTTTCCATTTCAGCTCCCAAAGTTTTTTAACCTCTTCTCTGTCCTCACCTATAGCCCTGGCCAGATATCTAATGCTGTTGATGTTCTTCACCTCCGTCCTGATTCCCAGCGGCTCTCCTGGTTTGTGTACTGACACGTTGGCATCAACTCTTAGCTGCCCCTCTGGGAAAGACAGTGGTGAGGGATACATACAGAAAAATGATACAATTTCTGTTGAAATTTCAAGCAGAAAATAGAGAAAAAAAATGTGTACAAGAGAATGGAAGAGATTTTCCTACCTGACATGTTACCTTGACAGGTACCGAGGGCCTGCAGGATGAGCTGAAGCTCTCTGACAGCTGCTGCTGCTTCCTCTCCACAGCTCATGTCCGGCTCCATCACCAGCTCCATTAGGCCTACACCTGGTGCATGTGCAGACAGCTGTGTTTTACATCCACAAGGTATCGATCTTATGGCGCTCTGACAAAGCTGAGCTGAGAAATGTTCTGTGTGTCTCTAACCTCACTTTGCTGTTACCAAGAGTGGTGTTAGAAAAAAAAAAAAAAAAACTATGCAAATATGCACTTCAAAGCTTCACTTCTGCCTTGAATTTTAACTGGGTAAAAATAAGAGCAGATTGAATGTGGATGACATGTTTAAAACTAACTCAAAATGAAACAGCCTCCACATTATTTGGAAGGATGAAAGAAGGACTTGTAATAAAATCAGCCTTTAAGTGCAGCAGCATATTCCACCTCTGCTAATACCAGAAAATAAAAACATTTTGTTTTAATATTTATTCAGTAGAGGGCAAAAAGCAATGTTAAGAAATAAGTTATGGATGCCAACATCACCACTGTCACCTCTAAATATTCCAATAGAGCTGAGGTCACGGATTAGCGGACCGCGGTCAGAATCCGGACCGATCTGCTGGCTAATCCGGACCCCAACTGAAAAAAAGTATAAATTACTGCCTGTTGTCCGACAACAGTGTAAAAGTTCACTTGGGCCACTTCTCCTGTGTATATGGTAAAGCCCTCCAGAGCGCCCGGGACCAGGCTACACATAATACAAATTAGCCAGTGAGCTGTGTCAGTCAGAAGCCACTTTTAGACACAGCAGGCAAACCTGTGGCAAGCCGGGCGGTGGGAAAGAAGAAGACAATGAGAAAAAGAGAAAAGAAAGTGTGAACTGCTGGAAGAACTGCGGTGAACTGGTGAAGGAAAAGTGAAATGGCGTGCTCAAAAATGACCCTGCACATTTTGAGTATTTTTGACTCAACCTGCTGCTGTGAAGCAGGATTCTCCACCATGAACAGAATCAAAAATAAATATTGATCCAGGCTCAAAATGAGCAATAAGTGCTTGAGAATGGCTTTGTCGCCATTCAAAGCCAGGTTTAAAGCCTTGAAGGTCAGCCTAAATCCCATTTCTCTTATTAAGCCATAAAAAAGAAAGAAAAAAAACCCCAAAACTGGCGCTGTACACTGGCTCCACCGTCAGACCACCATCAGTAGACAATGCAGGTGAAGTGTCTTGCCCAAGGACACAACGACACTGAAAGTCGGAGTCAGGGCCTGAACCGTCAACCCTTCGATTTCAGGGCAAACTCCTACATCCAACGCCACTGTCGCCCTAAAATATGTGAATCAGAAAATTATCTATATACCAAACTGAAAGACTGTTGTTCTCTACTTCAAAAAACACTTTAGATTTAAAAATGTAAAAATATCCTATTTTTTTAATATATATTTTTCTTTTTATTTAAAAAGTCAATGTATAACATGGATGCATAAACACCTGTATTTTATTTCAGAGTTAAATTCTGTTTAAAGTAACGGATTATAATTAAATTTGTCTCGGGACACTTGCTGTTTTTTTTCAGACCCCGCTGATTTATAACTAGTTACATCTGCAATAGAGTAAACTTTTTTTTAAGTTAATTCGATTGTCAAAGAATTATTATTAGGAATAGATATGCCATAAGACTCATTGTTATTTAGCTAATCTTCAAACTGGGAAAAACAAGGGTTCATACCATTCAAGTGGGGTTTGTTTGCGTCGACAGTCACAGGTCAGGAATTAGTTGAAAACAGCGCTTTTTTTGTATGAATTGAATTAAATATTTTTAAAAAACAAAAATCTTGAGATTAGGGCTGCAACTAATGATTATTTTGCTAATAGATTAATCTGTCGATTTTTTTTTTTTTGATTAATCGATTAATTATCAGATAGTTAAAGGTCCCTTAAAGAAGATTTTTTTTTTACGAAATCAAACCAGATAAAAATATAAAGAAAATTTTTACACTTAAGGAGTTCTGGATAGAGTATATTGGTGGACGAAAACATTTCTGTTCTTGCAAATAAAATGTTTATATGTTTTTTACATCTTTGTATAATTACAGCTCTAAGTGGGTTGCTCTGTTCTAGAGTCTCTATACTCCAGTTAATGATTGATCGATTACTCAATTAGTTGATGATTATTTCAATAATCAATTAATCATGATTAATCTGATTAATTGTTTCAGCCCTAAGTGAGATAAAAAAAAAACATCTACCAAACCCTACTGCTTGAGAACTGCAGCATAAAGTGGCATTAGTGACATTAGTAAAAAAGGCATGTCAAAGCTTCCATCTTTGGTGAGGAGCTCCAAGTTAGAGGTTGGAATTCTTCCTCATCATAAACCTAACATTTAGCTTCCACCACTGTTGTTTCAAAGATCTTTAGTTAAATAAGAAAAGATTGTTTTATTGTAAGGTTTCTGACATATCCCCATCAGTGATATATAAGTTTCTGTAATTTTCAGGAATCCACCTTTAGAGCTGATTTACACTGCTCCGAACGTCACTAATTCACCATGAAAAAATAGAAGCTAAAAATGGCTCCAAGATCAATTAAAACACTGTTTGTCCCTGAATGATGCTCTAACACTTGACTAAAAGAAATAAAAACAGAATTAATTAGTTTCATCGGTAGTTCATCTTTCTTTGTACGATGCGGCTCTCTAACCTGCTCTGTTAAGGTCGATGAGTGTCTGACTGTGGACGTCATCATGCAGACTCTTCCCACTGTCTTGTTCCAGCTGAATCTGTTTAATGTGAACGTTTTTCCTGATCACCTGGTTTCTCTTCTTCCCTCCCAGGACGCTGTAGGTAAGCATCCCGTCCACTGCCACTGGGCGACGCTGCTGAGTGATCTGGTATCCTGCCTGGAAGAGACCAGGTGCAATGATGACATGATGAATAATGGCAGACCAAAACAAAAAAAAATACATTTTTAAATGCCTCCAAGACACAGATTCTTAATTAGATACAGGTCTGAGTTTTAATTGAGCCAGTTTGGCAAATAAATATGCTTTAATGTTCCATGCTCTGAGTTTTTCTAGCCTTAAACTGGTTTCTTACAGAATTGCCTTGTTTTGAAGTCTCTCACTCTTCAATCTGGCCAGCTTGCTTGCCTCTTTGGTGCCACCTCATTTCAAAGCAGCAGTTCTTTGCAGGAAGTCTAGAAAGCTCAAATATTGTTGCATCGACTCCTGGTTCTCCTTCTATGCTTGAGTCAGACTGCAAATAGGATCCTTTATGGCTACCTCCTACAATGGTTTCTTTAACGTTTCCATTATAGAGTTCATAAGCGGCAAAGTTAACAGATTGTTTCACCTGAGCTGTGGGTGTCTGCAGCTCCTTCAGAGTTACCATGGGCCTCCTGACTGCTTCTTTGATTAATGCCTAGCCTGTCAGTTCAGACCATCTCTTGGTAGGAATATATAGATAATATTTCTTTCTCTGACCCGTCTGCTCTGCTTCTTATTCGTATATCATTCTTTTTATCCTGTTCTTTAAACAATCTCTGAGGCCTGAAACTGTAAAAACCAGAATTAAATTACTAACTAGGTGATTTTTTTCTAAGGTAGTCAGTTACATTGGAATTTAATTTGGGGCTAACATATATATAGGGGCTGAATAAAAGTGTACAGTAATATTCTGATTTTATCCACTTTTTTTAGACTGTTTCTTTGCTCTTGATAACCCTCCATCCTATCCACTTCATCTCACATTTACATGAAGCTGTGTGTTTATCAAATAAGATCTTAATACAGGAGGTCCTAGCTTGTAAGGGGACTAAATGTGGAAAAGGGGGAAGGATAACGATCAACTCATATCGATCATAGTATCCAGTCAGAATCCTAAATCTAAACGGGATGATAAAACTGCCTAAAGATCATGAGATAATTACATCTCAGTACAGGTGAGACGGGTGGCATCATTAGTTATGCCACAGCGCAGCTTTTTCTTTTGAGGACAGCAGAAAAAAAAATGTTTTTGTTTCTTTGTTCCAGTGGCCCTAAGTATTCATTTCCCCATATTACTATGGCAACTACATCAAAAGAAATAAACATTTATCCTATTTATGTTAAAGAGAGCGAGAATGTGGGAGAAAGATACGAGTGGGGCTGTTAGTCACCAGCTTTATGACTGACACCATCAATCATCTCCACGCTGCTTCCTGCTAAAACAGAAGGAAAGAAAAACAACTGAACTCAGCAGGCCTCTCAGCTTGGTAGCTCCTATCATTAACTCTTCCGTTTTAAAGATTATGCATTGTCTTTTCAAGAAGCACCTCCTTTGTAATTTTCATTCTCTTTTTTGTTGTTGTTGTTGACTCAATTGTCTCTCTAGATGTTTTATACATCATGTAAACTGGGGAGTATCTGAGTTGGGGAACAATATTGTATTTGCTGCAGAATGGATCAGCTGGTCTGCAGAAGAAGCATGTTTTTCTTTTAATGAGATCATGGTGGCCACATTAAGCATTCCTGTATCTGCTCAGAAAGCAACCTCTGTCTTAATGAGCAGTTAGATGGTCTCAGACGCTCATTTCTGTGCTGAGAGCCGCTGAGTCATTTACCGACTCATTCTAAAGTAGCTAAACAAACAACACTGTGAGGGTCAGCTCGTTCAAGGCTCCTGCACGCTGATTGCGTTCCCAGTCTTGATGCTGCAATCATAGAGTCAATTTAATTTCTTTCCTTAGGCACACCCCAAAGCCTCAACAACACAGACATCTTTGTTTAGTTGGACACTTTATTTCTCAAGGAAACTTTAATCATTGATAACGGTGGAGTTGCCATTTAATTAAACAAAACTCTTGCTTCAGTTTAAAGAGGGAACGCTGGTCAGATTAGTCTCAAAATGAACAGCTGAGGCGTTTTACCCAAATGTAATCAGTAATTCTTTGTGGATCTCATCAATAATGTGCAAAGCAGTGTGGAAAATGTATTTCTTCAAAAAGCAGTTACATCTCCCTCGGTTCTGTTGCCTCAAAATAGAGGCTACAGGAGGACGAAAGTGATCTCACCAGCTGCATAATTAAAGCCACTCTTCATTGAGTTCATCAAGCTGTTTTAAGCAACAACGGAGGCACTACAGTCTGCAGGAATCTAAATCCGTTTTGAGTCAGGCAACAGCGGGGACTGTTCTCAGTCTGTTAAGAAACCTTAAAAAAAATAAAAATAAATAAAAGAGGGCAGGATTAACCTCAGGGGCTACTACCCTGATGGAAACCAAGCACGGTACTTTTAATGCATGAATTTTAAACACAAATTAAGGTTCAGGATACTGACGAGAGATTTCCTGCAGATTTCAAAGAAAAAATATCACTGTAATTAGACATCAGCATCCCTGCTGTGATCCCAAGGCTGAGAAGGAATCCAAACGAGAGCAGTTTGGATTCCTTGGATAAATGCTTGAGAAAATCCTTGAGCTTTTCCAAAATGTACAGATTTTTAGGGAAGATGATGAATTATATAGGATGGTAAACAGAAAACATTGCAAATGCTAGAAAGTTCTGATAAACGGGGATTCTCTGAATATTAAACAGTTTTCCAGTTTTCCCTCCAGTGTTGACAAACTAAAACAGTCTTTACAGACACAAACTGCTTTAAAATATGTTTTGTTGAGATTTTTTACTAATGAAAGCGTTCTGATATAATGAGGCAGCATTTGTTTTATTCTTCAAATTCTGCGCTTGGGTCAAGTCCCAATCCCACAGACCGGCACTTTGGGTCCCTAGGCAAGACTCTTAACCCAACGCTGCTCCCTGAGCCCCAAACAATGGCAGCCCACTGCTCCCCAAGGGGATGAATCCAGAAAGGTAAATATAAACATGAAAACGTTTTACAGCAGATTGAAAATAAGAAATAAAATCTTTGAAAAAAAAAGAAAAAAAGAAAAAAACATATTTTTATGTTTTTTTCCCCCTCTTTTTACAATTCATTTATTTCATTCAAAATTAAAGTCTTAGTCTTGCTTTTAAAGAAGAAGTTGCAATGAAAAGTTGGATTTAATTTTCATGTAATTTCCTGCAGTGTGACTGTGTGAAACCCTTCTTTAGGCAGCTTTAATAAAACAGGAGGTGACATCTTCAGGTTAACAATCGTCCTCCTTATTATCTTTGCCCTGAGCCATCCATAATCCCTTTTTAGTGGGTTTGGACAGAATTTGCAAATTTAAAATGCTAAACTCTGCTAGACGGGGCAAGTCACTGTGGAGCAACCATGACATTTAATCTTTTCCTTAAAATGTCACTCATAATGCCAGGAAAATTAGCCCCGGGGTCTGGAGAGGTTGGGAAAGATCACGGTGCAAAAGGTCCTTTTAGAAAGCAAAATAAGAACCAGCACTGTGAGCAAAGCTACGTTTTCTAGACCTTTTCTAACTGGAGCAATCATGTTATAGAGTCTCAAATATTTATATTACCTTTAATAAGGAAAACAAGATGTTTTTACAGTTAGAGCTCTTTAGTAAGCTGAGAATCAATGTTGTGTTTCATTTATCATCATTTTAGAGTTTTTTATGTTTTCAAGAGGAGAAAACAAATATAAATGAAAAAGGAAGGTGGTGAACTCTAAGATAAAAATATCCACAGTATACAGTCTTTTATTATTGCCTTTCTTTCAAATTAAGTCCTGCTATTATTCAGTTGTTCTGGACATATCTGGGTTTTTTGGGTGTACTTTGTTTGTTGAAGCACAGCCTCTAAATCATTTTTATGTTTGCTAAATATTGAGGCTTTTATTCTGCAATTCCTTTTAATACCTGAACTTTTTGCCCTTACAAAATGTATTGTTCTAAAAAATGAAGGATGGTGCCATTACTTTTTACCATTGCTGTGTCTAAAGAGCTGTGTTAACAGGTCACAATTATGGTGATGATTCATTATAACTACTCATGTAGGGGCGTTTTTAGGACAAACAGATGGTTACGAGGAAGATCAGGTCATGATTAAATGACCAAGAGAAAACAAAATAAGTATTCAGATCATAAGACCAGCATAATTAGCTATCAGGGTTTTCACAGGTGCATTTTAGTGTAGCTCGATACGCTAAAATTTGTCACTACTATGCTGAAGTTTGGCTGATACACTCAGTTTTATGATAATACAGGCTTTTTGACTGACAACAGGGCTCCCACTTTAGGGTCCTTACCATTACCTTACCTAAAGTTAGACTGATATACTGAATTTTATTGAGCGTAAAGGCTGAAGAAACAGTGTTTTTAAAACAAATGTACCTCCTTTTTTGCACATATATGTGAGAACCTTGTCTGATGGCGAACTGGGACCCAGCGCTCTGAAAACATGGACCAACCGCCCTCCCTGCACCTTTATGACACTGTCATTGACTCGGGTCTGGTCCCAAAACTTTTACCCTTTTTTTCAAGATCAAAAAAATCATCGTAGAAAATGAGAACATCCATAGATAGACCTATTTAAAAAAACAAAAGGTTGATGTAAGCACATGTATGACTTCTAAAAAAGTATGCCCATTTTTTTATGCAATCAGTACTTTGCATGATTTACTGCATCAGTGCACCATGGCAGAGAAATCAGCGTGTGGCTCTAAGAAGGTTTAATGGAAGCCTGGTTTGCTTTGCCAGCAGCCCTAAGGTTACACATAGATTTACTGATAGTTTAGTTCTAGGGAGTTTGCTGGCCGATGCATTACATTAAATCCCTGGTAGTCGGTAAGGTTTTGATACATTTGGCACTGAATGCATGTATCAAGTCTCACTGGATAAATAACGATCAGCATCTCCATGCAGTTTGCCAGCAGAAGGAAGCATGAAGTGCTCTAGAATTTTCAAGTTGGTGACCAATGGATCAACACCAGAAGATGCCATGGCCCCACACACCATCACTGACTGTGGA